CAAGAAAACTTCACGCTGTAATATTTGAAATATTTAATCATCAACAACAATGAAATGTATGACGTTTACAAAACATGCTACTAGCTTCGAGGACCTATAATCTACAGAAGGGTAACTACTATTTCCCGAAACACTGGTTATAACATTTGTCGAACAAACGACTATCTAGCAGTGTACAAGAATATTGTCACTACCCTTCGCCGAACCTGGTCTAGCTCCTACCTCTATGTCTTCTCTCTATTCTAGTCTGGTCTCGTCTAGTCTACGCTAGTCTCTCCTGAATCTGATCTCCTCTCTACCTTCGAACCCTCGGTATATAAGGCCCTAGCGTAGTAATGATCCCGCTTTGATCATTCAGACTTCAATAGGTACATTCTGGATGGTTGTATCTTCTTTCCCCAGTTCCCAAGAACGTATGGGCTTTGAACGCGCCAAATCTTTGTGCACTCTCATGCGTTTACAATTAACGAGTAAGAGGCGCTTCTCAATATCGTTCTTCGTGATCTTACAAATCACGGACTTAACTGATTTTGGGGCAGCAAGATATTATAAATACGCCTCACTCTAAGGTTCCCTGTCCTACAGGATGTCGCCCTGGGCGGTGGCGTCCAGTTTGTAATTACGCTTCTCGCGCGGGTAGCGGCGTCCAGGGTACTAATTTCACCTGATATTTACGAGCCACGAGCCCTCTGGCTTCACTTTGTTACACTCGCCCCACCATTCACAAAAAAATTACGTAGGTAATTTTAAAAAGGAGAAACATTATCACTCCCAGTAATTAAGATTACGATCATGACGTTGTTTCTGTCTTCAATATCTATCCTAGTCTGCGATGAACAAGTAGAATCCTAAATTCGTACGTGCATGAAATAGAAAAATATTTTTCTCATAATATATCTTGAGAGACATCATTAGATAAAAAAAAAAAACCCCAACACAATAAAGACCATTACTAAAACCAAAAATCAATCGACAGGAATTCAAAATTGACCCAGTGACTTGCTGTTCTAATGCAGACACCCGAGCGCAATAACTTGAACCAGCAACGTTACATTGACCCAACCATATCGCTTAGCTTATTGAGTCATAACGTTCATAGTAGTAGTAGCCTGCACGTCTGAAATACATTTACCATACACCAGGGAGTACGTAAAAAATTAGAACATTCATATACGTTTCATACTGTCTTCAAACCTCATAACCACTTCCATTTATTAATTGCTCCTACAGCCCACAGTTATTTAATGAACTGTTCACGTCCCAGACTGCTACACCAGTGACGATACGATGGATCTTCAACTGGTGGCTTACTTCATTCTGTGTATGTGGTATGAGCAGATAGTTCAAGACTATGAAAAGTAAGACAATCTTAATATACAAGGATACTACATGACATCGTATGTGGACAATGCAAGTACCACACTACTCAGTGATACGCATTTAGCACAGTTTACAATGTGTTAAAACATCCATTGGGTTAACTGTGATGCGTCCTTATACCACAAACAATAATTCTCAACACCTGCCTAAGCGCAGGGCCCTGGACCAACCTGTCAGTTTTATCACAGCTAGCCATAGACAAATTAGTCGTTAAGATAGGCATACATCGCTGTCAGACGGTCCAACATACTTTATCAAGTCATCATTCTTCAGATTATCATGGTTTCTGCGGAACTACCACCTCGCAACAAAACTGTAAGTCACTCTACCGTAACAGGGGCCATCTGGTCATGGAAAAGAGTCCAGACAAAAAGATTTGCTTTCAGCGCTACAGATTAGGCATACTACTTAACCTTGGTAGTTGACCAACCCATTACATATCATAATGTTACTCTTTCTATGCCAACAGCTCTTGGCACAACCTCACCACAGACACAGTATCAACATTCCGATCTGAAAGGAATCAGACAACTTAGTCCACTTGTGACGACGAAGATACACTTTCCGCATTTGGCTAAATACACTTCAATCTCCTTTACTCAGAGAAATAATTGCATACACATTGTATAATTTTTCTTAAAATATAAATACAAGAACGTTTGATAATATACAGTCAAGGAATGCTGGGCTCGTATCTTCGAGCCTGTGTTCCCTTTCACACTTAGGGCGCACCCACGTCCTTCATCATAACTCTACATGATACAATAATAGGTAATGTAAGTATGGTATCAATACTCATCTGGTCACAGTTCTGGTTGACAAGAGAAGCATAGTCCACAGTCGCAGGGCAGTCATCTTTAGGTGGAACGTTCTACCAACGACGATACAAAATGTCGTTTAGGGACAGATGTTTAAAGATCTGGAGACGATGATAGCTGGTGGTGTCGATCGTCCTTGCCTGGAGGGTTATGTGGTTGATTAACGTCAATTTGGGACTCCAGGTCGACCACTGAGACAACGACGTCGTCTGGCGAGTTACATGCTCGTCTGCCAGAACTAACCTGCCTACTGAGCTCACATAGAACATTCTAAACTACGTTCCTAGAACACATAGAGTAGAATTATTGTCTATTTGACATCAAACCCAAGTGGAGAAGAATTTCGTACCCTTTTTCGTAACCCTTCGTCTTATGTAGTTTATCTACCAATTCCTCCTACCCATTTACCTCTTTCCTTTTTGGTAGGTCAGGGAGGGAATCAGATGGGGGAAAGTCGGGTGTTTGGAAAGGAGGGGTTCTTACATTTTGGTGCAACACAGATTCAGACGAGCAAGGGAAGGGTCAATTTTGTTCGTTTATTATAGAACAACTATCAAAATTAAAGTTGGAGACTTAAGGGTCAACTGAAATAGTGCAGATTTGTGGAAGAGAAGCAATATACTTGGATAAACTGGGAGGAGCAGCATTGGTGGTAATTTTTATTTGACTCAGATAAAGATTTCTAGCGACTGGATAGGACGAGATAGTAAAATTTCACTGGTAAGTTAACAATGCCCCCTCTTCTTCTTCTACATAATGACGTAATCAACAACACCAGCAATCGCCTGTAATAAGGCCCTTATCTTTTTGTTTTTGGCCCTAACAGTTTTTACCTCGGCTGCCTGGCTGTTCTCTTTAATTGTGCTTTGCCTTTTCGGGTTTCGATGTTGGTAGTGGCATTCGCTTTACTCTTGTTCCTCCGTCGGATCAAGTTTCCATTAGATTGTTGGGTTGGCTTTTTGGTGTTTTTTCTTAACCTTCCCTTAGCTGAGCTGTCATGTCTATGTCTTGACCACCAAGAGACCTTTAACATGCCAAGGGATCTTTAACATGCGCAACTTGCACTCGAGACCTTCAAGATTTTTCGCCCTTGTCCGAGAAGGCTAGGTATAGATCTTTCCTACCAGGAGATCAAGGGTGTGGCTGAAAGACAGCAGTATG